TCTCTCTCTCTCTCTCTCTCTCTCTCTCTCTCTGTGTCCGTCTGTCTACCATATCTATCTGAAACTCTAACCCTAATTTGAAACCGTATTTTGAAACCCTAACCCCTTATGATGGCCGATTATTATTATTTTTTTTTCCCCCCATAATTGCACACATTTATCTGAACACAAGTGATTGACCTCATTAATGGTTCTGCAGCTACTGATTAACGTACAAATCTCACAATCCATAAGCACTGAATGAAAAGTCATCAGGTGGTGGTAGTCAGACCTCACGCGGAGCATGCATGAATACACACGCACGCACACAAGGTGAAGACTCGCAGTGAAAAAAAAAGACATTTGTTTGGTTTCCTTGACTCTCGTGGTTTCCTCTGTTTTTCTGAACGCGCTCCGTTTCTCGCCCGCACTTGCACTTTAGGCGCCCTTTCGGCCTCCTTCCCTCACTCTGTGCAGGATTTGTGCAGTCTTGAAAGCACATGTACAAGACAAACTCTTGCGAAATGTTAATCATGAGCTGAATGAGGGAGTGCAACACAGCAGAGGGGATGCGATGTGTACGCTGAAAAAAACAATAAAAGAGAGAGTGGGAAAAGTTGAAAGAAGAGGAGGCAACAGATGAGGAACAAATGTGGACGACTTTGTAATGCTCTGAGATGATTTAAAGATGCATGCCTGGCTTTCAATCACTTGGAGGACTGCAGATGTGTGCTGGTTGCTGATGGTTTATTTCGGGTTTCAATTTTAGCCCGAACTTGTGACGAAAGCTGCAGTACAGCAAGTATGTGGTTTGACTCGCAACTCCTCCGGCAGAAGTGACTGTTGTTTCCAACTCTGAATCTTTTGCTTCTTTTATTTATCATTCTGACACACTCACTCTTGGATAGAAACGATAGCTGCAATACCATTGTGTTGACATGCTGTGCACAGCACCACTTTACAGTGTGGCACATTTTATTTGCTTTAGACCAATTCCGGTGAATTTATAAAACTGCTTTGCTGGACAATTTCCACCCTGACTCCATTGAAAGAATGATGTTTTACCTCTCGGTAATGCTATGCAACATATTTGGAATTATTTGCCTGATTAGCCAAGGTTTTTAAACAATGAAAAAAAGTGATACTGGTACTTTACTTCTTACAGTTCATTTGTGGTTCTACTTTGTCCCCTAACCAAAAATCTAGATGCAATTTTGACTATGAGTAAGTTGTGTGAATATCTCATCTCATTTCTCCCCCTTTCCATCCAACCTAACGCATGTACAAGGTATCTTGCGCCTGAGTTAGATACATTCTTAATAGGGCAAATAAAGTGAATCGACCTGTAATACTCGTACCCGAGATACGGATCCGGTTCTCACGGGAGAAGGACATGCAAACATCTGGGGAAACAACACCAACTGCATGTTTGGCCTTCAACCCTGTGAGTGAAAAACTCAAATAAAACTCGGAAGCCGGCAAAATATTCAGTATCAAAATATGAGAGTGAGCAAAGCAGACCTGAATTACTTGACTTGGTATTCAATATTCAAATAGAAACCTCTGGCTTTGTGATGGATATGGTCCAGGTTTTGGGTGGGGTGTGGGTCATGATTGATTTTGGCTCACGAGATCTTTGGATCTCCCATCATGACTTGTCCATGAAAGTAGCAGAGCATTATAATGTCAAGGGGCCTTGAAAGCTAGGGTTAGGGTTATGGGTTTGGGTTCGGGCTAGGGGTTCGGGTTAGGGCGAGGGCTAGGGGTTAGGGTTAAGGGTTATGGTTATGGTTTAGGGTTAGAGTTAGGGGGTTAGGGTTGGGTTAGGATTTAGGGGTTCAGGTTGAGGTTCGGGTTAGGGTTTAGGGTTAGGGGGTTAGGGTGAGGGGGTTAGGGTTGAGGTTTAGGGTTAGGGTTAGGGAGTTAGGGTTTAGGGTTGGGGTTCAGGGTTAGGGTTGGGGTTTAGGGTTGGGGTTAGGGTTGGGGTTCAGGGTTAGGGCTGGGGTTAGGTTTAGGGTTAGGGTTAGTGTGGGGTTGTTGTGAAACATATTACCGTCACCATGAATTTTCAATATTGCTTCGATTTTGGTTTGGTGGTCACTTGTTCATTGGCTGGCAGAGCCACACACGCAGTGACTTGCGGATTGTTATCCACACTTTCCTGAAAGATCCCATTCATTTGAAGTCATGGTGGAGAAAAGGGGGTTTGCCCTGGCACCGGCAGACTAAACAGATCCTGTGAAAGCAGGAAAGTATGCTATGAATAAAATCAGACAAGGGCGTCTGTATACACTGTCAGTTTGACTTACAGTCGAACCGTTTCCTCAACATGGACGGGTCGGTGACTAATTTTAATTTTTTTTTAAACGGATAGCCTCTTGAGATGTGTCACCTTGTTGTCAAGGTGGTGCCAAACATGTCAAAACTTTTTGTTGTTGCATGAAAGTATAAATATATACACACACACACACACACACACACACACAGAGTATGGCCTCTTAATATGCTCACATCATCTACAGCGATGTGTCAAATGTAATAGCATTTTGAGAAAGAATTATGCCCCGGTTCGACTATAAACACAGACGGGAATGAAAACTATTTGAGCATTTGGCTCGTCAAAAGCTCCTCCTATGTGTATTTTTATAAAGCCATAAAGAGTAGTGTAGCGAAAGGGCACAAGTGAGCCATTCTGGGCTGCTTCCAGACTGGCTGAGTTCCCATCAAGAACCGTGTGACGAACTTCACAACTTATCCATCTCAATCTCCTCAGTCTGCCACAGTCCTGGTATGCTGTGTTATTTTTCACGTTTCTTCCGTGGAGACTGCTCCAGCCATTGTGGCGTAAAATACCTTTTCTCTTTGCATTCCAGCGCAGACAGCCTTCAATGTGTCCGCGCTGTTACCAAAGAAGACAGGGAGTTATTGAACCTCAAGTTAACTGACTCCTTATGTTCCGTAACCTATTTTTGCTTTCGACATTACAAACGGCTTATGATGACTTGCAGCAGTTTTATTGTCAAGCCTCCCAAGCTGTCTACGCGAGGAATATGTGGTTTTAAAAAAAAAAAAAAAAAAAAAAAGCCAAGTCTTGGAATCTGTTGTTTTTATTAACCCAATGTGATTTCATTTGCTGCAGGTGACCTACCTGGGGAAGGTGACCATTTCTGGAACCAACTTCTTGTCTGGCTGCACAGAGTCAGCGGTGGTGGGTCTGGTGGAGCATCGCGCTCTCGCTCAGCAGCAGGGCACGTGCCCCGCTGGCAGCTCTCTACTGGAGATACGGCCCTTCCAGGTACGTCTCCACCACCTGGATGGGCACGGCGAGGCCTCAGTAACCATGGACACCTACCAGGTGGCGCGGATCGCATATTGCACAGCCGATCACAGCGTCCAGCCCAACGTATTTGCCTGGATCTACCGGGAGATCAACGACGACCTCACCTTCCAGATGGACTGCCACGCCGTGGAGTGTGAAAGCAAGCTGGAAGCCAAGAAGCTCGCGCACTCCATGATGGAGGCTTTCCGCAAGACTTTCAATAGCATGCGCTGCGATGGGCGCATCCACAAGAGTGGCTCTTCAGATGAGTTTGCTGAGGATTCTTCCACTCCAGAAGATTCAACCCCAGACGATGGTTGAAGTGACGCTGACCCAAACGCCCGATCCCCATTCTGACAAAACAAGGGGTGAAGGGAAGGATGGACAGATTACCTGCTCTCTCTCATTCTCCCTTTTACTTTCACGCTGACCATTAGCAGACGCAAAGAATCAACTCAACTGATCTGATCGTATTTTAAGTCCAATAAGATTTTTAGTCCAATTTAAAAAAAAAAAAGAAAAATAAGCCTCCTTGGGGTCTTTGTGGGTGAAGTCACCCAGAAGAGATTGGCCACATATTTGCATTCCCATGTTCCATAATGTTCATCCTGCAGCCAGCAGAGGCACTTGTCTGTGGTTCTTAAAGTTTTTCGATCAGTGGAACCACAAACAACAATACCTGATCTTCAAAAAAATGCAGGGACCCAGCAGTAAGAGGCCTCCGACTATATTTTGGGCCCCAATCCTGAATTGATGAGACTGTCGGAGCGCATTGATTTTTGTGCTTGCGCAATAGCCATTGCATCTTTGATAAAAGCAACAGTACTCCGTAGTACTGCCTTATCATTTTCGTGGTACTTCTTGATCTTCCTCCAACTACAGGTATTTACTCATATGGTACTTAGTTATGCCAGTACATGCGGGACATCTTTCGAAACGTCGAGTATTTCGATGTTTCATATGTTCCGTCTGTGAATAGCTGGAGCATTTTTGTGACATCTTAATCATTCTTGGTTGATTTTTATTTCAAACGTACCAAAATTCAGGCTTCAACCGTGCCTGTCAGATTATGTGCCTCAAATTCATCGACATTTGTTTTGTCGAGGACCTGATGAGGATGTCTGGCTGAATGCGTGCGGCCGCTTCTTTTGTTTTATCGCTGTGGTTAGAGACGATTGTGTACTCTGCACAAGTGCTTGTAGCCTGCGTTAAGTCGAAACAGATAGATTCGGGAGTCGAGGTAAAAGGATCCTGCGTGAACAGACTGAGGTGAGGACTCAAGCAAACAATTGCGGCCCCCGTACGAACGTGACCATGCAACCAGCGAGCCTTCGGAGCCTCTGAATGTTTGAAAAGTCCAAAAAAACTGAATGCTTCTTCACATCATCTGTAGTCACCTCGGTCCCCGACAATGTCTTCAAGCTATCACGGTAGTTCTAAGGGAGTGGCAAGTCTGTTTACAGCTACCCGCTTGCAGCACTGAGAGTCCAGACCTGGCTCAAGTAAGGCTCTGACAAACAGTTGGGCGAATCGAGGCGAACGTGCACACATTCAGCCATACATCTAATTCAAACATACTGTATGTACATGCACATTGCATTGCGCTCCCACTTAATAAGCCTATGTAAATAAAATGTATCACGTTACAAATATTACAGCATAACTGTTGAGAAGTATTTTAAATAAATAAATTTTAAAAAAAGCTGAGAAATATCGTACGATAAAGAAACAGTGTTATAAAACCTACTGTGAATCGTCAGTGAGTGGAGAGCCTGATAAAAGTGATTTTGTGAGCAAGCTCCGACTTGCTTTAAATGTTTGAGAAATGTGGAAACAAGTGTTTTCTATACAGTGTCTGCAAAGATCAAGAACCAGTTGCATATAAAGCATTTTCAAAGACCAGTCATGTGATGTGTTCTGTTTTTTTTTTTCCCCTAAACCACACATCTGTCTGCCCTTCTTACTCATCGTTTTTGTGTGGTGTGAAGCAGGACAAAAAAAACAAATTATTTTCCCCTTAAAGGAAGCCAATTTTCTGCCAAGTTAGAAACACAACATCAAGTCACGGATGTTGCACAGACATGTTGCATTATCACAAGATCTTGATTCCATTGACTTTTTATATGCGTTCATATAGGTTTTTTTTTTCCCTTGATACATCACCGCAACTTGTGTTACAATGAATGCTCGTGAGCCGTGAGCCCACGAAGGGCAACACGTGCCCAAGCCATAATACCGGTTGCACCCTGTTGCGTTATCCTTTGGAACCATCAACTGTTCCTTTCTCGATTCCAGAAACGTGTTGCCTTTGGTTTTCACCATGTTCACATAGACCACAAAGGCGCCTCAGTGTGCTGACAATAACATGCCTATCTCGTGTACTGATATACGCTCTTCTTTCAGGCTAATGGAGGCCTCTTTTGCCAACAACAAAAAAAACCTCATCGTCCGTATACCTTTGGGCTTCACTGTATACAAGATAGCATGTCAGTGATTGAATGCTATGGGATGTGCTGGAAGGGAAGTTATCAAGTTCAACAGATTTGACCACCCCGTGGCAACCACCATGAAGCTTAAGGTGGCTTCAGTGTCCCGACCAGCTCATATTCATAACCTCATGGGGTTTTCCCAGCATGTTTTAGGATAAAGTCTGTCACTCTAGTCAATACTATGTGGCTGTTTCTCATTCCTTCCATTCCGTCATTTTATTGTGTTACTGTTGTTGTGCTTCCTCTTCTCGCCTGCCAGAGAGAAACAGGCCTCTGTTTTCCTTTCAAAGCGGACACATCAAAAATTAAATAACAAGCTACTCGCTGCCCTAATTTATGGCCTGCCATCATTTTGCAGTTTAAAAGTAACAGCAGCTGAGAATTGGAGGCAAAATGGTTGCTGGCGTGATCATTTTCCTCAAAGTAAAACACTGCCTCCTTGCGGCAACTTGTGCAAACTCTCCTCTATCATGCTTTTTCTTTTCACCTCTGTAGCAATTGCACATACTCGCTAACGTTATTGGGTTGATCCTATGACATCCATCCATCCATTTTGCGATTTTGATTTGTGCAAAGTGGGATGCATGGCAACTTTGTGCAAACTCTCCTCTATGATGCGTTTTCTTTTCACCTCTCGAGCAATTGCACATACTCGCTGACGTTATTGGGTTGATCCTATGACATCCATCCATTCATTTTGCGATTTTGATTTGTGCAAAGTGGGATGCACACATTTCAGTCAATGCAGATGTACACACATTTCAGTGGCTGATTAAGAATGTTAATTTTATTTCTCCTGTGACTATGAAAGTAAGCGCTTTTTTTTTTTCCCATTGATCCTCCACGGAGAAAAAGAGCAGAATGTTCTTCACCCCCGCTGGGCTTACTTGGAATAAAGTGATACGGGAACAAAAAGCACTTTTTAATCCTTTTCTTTCTCATTCATTCCGTCTCACGAGCGTTTCAATTACCTCCTGTTTAACCGTTCGTACTGCTTTCACGCTCTATATGCATTATGCACCCTTGCTTTTGTTTTGCTTTATTATTAACACTAAGTCCCTCCGGAATTGTTACTGTTGCAACAGCCCCAGTCTGCACTCAACTTGTTTCTAGTGACTACGTCTGTTCTGAATCCGACAGGTATAAGTCCCAGTGGTTTTTACGCATAGCCACATCTAACAGGTTGAGAATACACAAGTATGGGTATAACGGAAAGCCAATACATAACTGCCAGTAAACAAAGCCTTGTGTCTCGGTCTCTTCCAGCTCACCGTACACGACTTCCTCCTTCCACTGTGCCCCTCTGTCTTGCTGACCCATTTCCAGCATCAACACAGGGGGGCCCCCAGAAAGAGGCCACCCCGACGCCTGCCTGTGTATCTGCTTCTCCACTGAGGCGTCAGTCAGCTCACAAAATAACTTTGGACCTGCTCCAGCTTGACACTCTTCCACCCATCCGGTCCCATAAGATTCTGCCTTTCACCTGGTCAAGGGCCTAAAAGCGTGAATCAGAATCAGATTTATTGGTCATGTATGCAAGAAACAAAAGGAATTTACTTCCCAGTTACAACCCGTTCGGAGGAACATGAACAAGACAGCAATCACCAACATTTGGGAGATGGAATGAGAAGCCCGATGGGTGGCTATTAAGCGCCCCGATATCCTAGATGTGAAAGGAAACAGTCGGGAAGAGGAGGTGCGGGGGGGGGGGGTAACTAGACTCCAACCATTCTCGCAAATGGGAGGATAGTTTGAGCCAGAGAGGAGTGGGGGGGACCCTCAGCACATGTCGCGTACATTTGAAAACAGTACAATTCTCAAGACTTCACATGAAAACTTTGACATTGCACCTGCAACTGCAAGGCCAAGACCTTATCAGTCACAGGCTTGGGAGAATAAGGAGAGGAAGATAGGATTCCGTGTGGGGTTTTTTTTGTTTTCATCCTGGGAAATCCAGATAACGGCTGTTGTGGGGACAGCCTTGAATGTCTTTTAGGCCAAGAGATGTGAATGAGCGCAGTGTTATTGTTGTCTGTCTCACAGTCAGTATCTTTGCTCTACTCTACTCCTGTCAGGTTCGAAGCGAACCGAATCATGTTTTAGTATCCCAGACTTGTAGACACCATACAAAACTCCGTAACAAAAAAATATTTATTCACACAAACCGCCGACAAAAGGAGAAACAGAAATCGCTGGTCAAAAAAAAATGACCATGGAAAGAAAAACAATACGTTAACCAAAAGTGCTTGCAAAAGGCGAGGAAGAAATTAACTAACAACGAAATGCCAAGAATCCAATTCCCCTGAAGCGAGATCAAATCATGGAACTAAGACTATATTGTACTTACAAAAAAAAACATAATCCAGAGAACCAGAACTAATACGACAAGAGCGAGAGGTCTAGAGAAAAATGATCAGTTGCGCAACAGCAGTAGCAAGGTCAACAATAATCCGACAAACTGCTGAAAGTTTGTCGGTCCTTAAATACGTGACGCCCAGATGATAACATTGGCAGCAGGTTTGCACACTGGAGGATTGGCTCCGGTCTGCCACCTGCTGGGGGACGCAAGAACAGGAACGTGACAACTGCCTCACTTTGCTCAGTGAGTGGGATTCTTTCTTTTTCAGTCTGTACCAAACAGAAAACAGACTGACTGCAATGCAACACCATTTTTCTTCTTCAAAAGAACTCTTACCGAGCATTTGAACTCTCAATAGTAAAACATGTTGGAGGTCATGAAAGCAGAAAAATGCTTTGTTAATGTTTATCCCGGAGAAAGACAGCCTTGTCTTTTTTGCTTTCCAACACGGCAAGTATTTCCTGTGATCAGGAGCAGATTTCCACTCACACATCCTGTGTAGGCAATCGGTCCCTGCAGTCTTCACATGAGGTTAATAAAGTCATGTGGACTGGGATGATGATTTCAAGGCCCTCTCTCATTTCCAAAGCTTGGAGCAGATGATGAAGTCACATACACATCAGATGCTGTGCTCAATTTCTGGAGTGTATACAATGTGTTTAACTCAGA